CCTGCTACTAGTACAACAATTACTGCGGCGACGGCGACGACGAAGACGACGTCGACGACGACGTCCACTACCCATGCTACTGCTACTACTACTACTACGACTACGACTACTACTACTACTACTACTACTACTACTACTACTACTACTACTACTACTACTACTACTACTACTACTACTACTACTACTACTACTACTACTACTACTACTACTACTACTACTACTACTACTACTACTACTACTACTACTACTACTACTACTACTACTACTACTACTACTACTACTACTACTACTACTACTACTACTACTACTACTACTACTACTACTACTACTACTACTACTACTACTACTACTACTACTACTACTACTACTACTACTACTACTACTACTACTACTACTACTACTACGACTACGACTACGACTACGACTACGACTACGACTACGACTACTACTACTACTACTACTACTACTACTACTACTACTACTACTACTATTAGTTATCATACTAATTCTACCACTACGACTCCTCTACTAAGACTACTACCACCACTACAGGCGAAAGCGCGACTCCTGCGAAAATTGTGAGTTCTCCAGCGAGAGCGCGAGCTCAAGCAAATTGCAAGGAAGTATCCAGCGGGAGCCGGTGTTGTAGTCTGGGGTCCACCAACGCAGTTCGACTATGAAGGCATTCCCAAATACAAAAACAGGGCGCGAACCCGGGCGGAACTTCAAATTGATTAATACAATGGGCCCAGAATCGGAGAATTCTACATCTATAACAGAACAAAACAAAAAACTTCTGATGCGTGAGAAGGGGGATGGGAGCGAGGTGCAGGAGGGAGGAGAAAAGTACCAGAGAGGAAGTGAAGATGACGGGCATTGATGATGTTGCGCGGAGGAGACGGGAGAGGAAACGGAGAAGGAAGATAACAACGGCGCGGAGGGATGAGTGCATCCACCCCTGCACCTCCTCATCCTCCCGACCCCTCCCTGCAACATCTCGCCTGTCCATTCATCCCGCCTGGAGATAAGGAAAAAGCATGTTGACAAAACCCTCCAGAACTCCGAGCGGACTTTGGATCGGCGCTGAAACCCCCCTCCCTGGCACCTGGCGCGCGGAGCGCGCCAGGGCGGCGCCTAAGGCATAACCAGGGGGGTCCCAGGCGCCGACCCAAGAGATCCGCGCGGATCCCATGCTCTCCCACCTCCGCGCCTCGCCTCGCCTCCCCCCTGAGGCCCGACGCGGCGACAGAAAAACTGCAGCAGCGCTGCAAGGAGCACGACTGGAGCCTCACACACGTCGGTCGGAAGAAGCGGGTAGGAGCATTGAGTGGGAAGGTGGATAAAGCAGATTGGGTTCAGGCCCTCCCAAGGAATCACAAAACAAAGCAAAAGCACATCGATTCCTGAAGTAGGATGGCGCTTGAAGTAGACTAGGACCTGGGAATCCAGAAATACATACATCCAACGATCTGCGTGTAGGCACCATACTTCAGCAGCATCCCTCGAGCTGAATCGATCTGTGATGGTCGAATGGTGCAAAAAAACTGCGGCGCCAGGGTCTCTCAGGGTTGATACCTCGCCCCTCCTTCGGGGGCGTCCAGGAGGGGGCGTGCAGGAGGGGGTTCGCAAATCAGGGACAGGGGTATGTGCGCGGACGAGGGGGGGGCCGATTGGCGTACTATCATGGCCCTGGCCTTGATATCTAACCACCCTGGTTAGACTTAAGTCGGGCCTGTCCTCCTACAGGGGGGGTTTTAACGAAGAGTAAAAAAATCCCAAAAATATTCCAAAATGTTTACAAACCATACTAGTTTAAAAAATCGTCCCCATACTATGTTGTGACTATCTTTGAATTTTCCCTCCTGTAGAGGGACTCGCCCGACTTAAGATCAGACGTCCCCCACTTCTCAGACTGTCCTCTGGTGGCTTGGGGCCACAGCTCGGGCCCCCGGCGGCCGTGCGGGACGCTCGGGGCACCCCCGGGGACGCCCCCCGCGAGGCGCAGCCGCGAGAGGGGCATCCCGAGGCCAGGAGAGCTGCCGAGAACCCACTGGAGCGTCCGAAAGCCTCGCACCTCGAATCTCCAGAGGCCTCCTGGATGGGGTCGTACTAGATGGGGTCGGAGGATCGCGCCGCATCGCCGATACATCGGCGATGCATCGGCGATGCATCGGTGATGCACTGGTGCTGCGTCGTCGACGTTGGCGATGCATCGGCAATGTCAACGTGAAGCCAAGATCCTCCGACCCCATCTACGCCGACCCCATCTAAGAGGCCTAGAATCTGAAAAACTTCGGCCACCTCCGGCTCGTCTTAGGTCGGGCATGTCGTCTTCCTACAGGCGGGTTCAGCGAAAAACATAAAAATATACACACAACAAAAAAACTGATTCAAAAAGACTATGTTGTGCCTATTTTTGAAGATTCCCCCTGTACGTGGACAGGCCCGACTTGAGACTCCTCCCCCCCGACCCTCCCCCCCAGGGGCCCCGCGCGCGCGCCTCCCGCAGATGTTGTAGGCCTGCGACTCGCCGGTCACGGTGGCGCTCGTGCCGCAGATCTCGCGGCCGGCGCGGCAGCGCTTCGGGCGCGCGGCGCCCTAGGCGATCGAGGATCCGAGGGGCAGAAATCATGGGGGGATTAGTCGATGCTCAATTTGAGGTTTTCCGCTCCACTGCTCGCGCAAACATCCCACCCACCCACCCGCAACCTGGCTTGCAAAACCCCATGCGGAGGCGATTGCGATGAGTGCTTGGCGCTGGCTGGTGCACCTCTGCGGCCGCGACAGCCTGCGCATGCACGCGCGCGCGATAAACAGTGTGCTTCGTTTTCGTCCTGCGTTCGGTTTTCCTCGTTCGGTCTTCACTCCACGAAACCGACAAGACACCGTCCGAGGCCTTCCAGCGATGAGGGGCAACGTCAGGGGGGGGGGCCGGCTCAGGGGGGGGGGGGGGGGGGGAATATCAACCTGGAATCGGCGATACATCGCCGATTGATCGGCGAGGGGCCCCGAAAGCGAGCCCGCCCGTTCCCGGGCGGGGAGGGCCATCGGGCCCCAAGCCGGCGATGACTGGGCGTTTGGGAATCGATGCCTCCCGCTCTGAGCCCATCCCTCAAGAGGGAAAGAAACACACAGATTCAATGAATCGTCGATTCCCCCAAAAATATGGGGAAATATGGGAAGTGGGGAGGAAGACAGAAACCCAGAAAATATAGGAAAAGAGGGGAAATCTTTCTACTCGTGTGTATTTATTTGTGTGTCTCGGGGCTCGGGCGCCTGCTCCGTGGGGCTCCCTGGCGCGCCGGGCGGCGTCCGCGGAGCCAGAACGCCGAGGCCCAGCCAGGCCCCCCCGAGATCTGGGCGTGGCCGGCTCTTCACACCGGGCGTGTCCGCCCAGCGCCGAGCCCCGGGACCATCACAGGTCGATCTGGCCCGAGGCATGCCGCAGAACGCGCGCGGCCCAGGGCTCTAGGTCGTGATGTGCTGCGATGCTGCAGCTCGTGCGGCAGCGTCGGATCTCAGGGCCTCTTCAAATTACTGGGCGGCGCCGTCCATCGGGAGCGGCGAAGAGGGGGGTGTCCAAGAGGAGGGGGTGCAAATCATCACCGGCGGCATGTGCGCGGCCCAGCGGGGGGGCCAGGGACGTCATGAAATAAGAAGAGGCGCCATGAAACCTGGGGAGATATCATGGCCCCGCCAGAAAATATGGGGAAATATGGGTAATTATGTTATTTGTGTGTATTTATTCGTGTGCCCCAGGGTCCCTTCAGAAACTCCATTCACGCGCACTGAAACTTGGTGGGCCGCTGTGTGGCAGCGGGGGGCCCGGGGCCCTCAGAGGACGCGCTCTGAGCAGGAGCCAAAAGGCCGAATCGTGGGCGGCCGCGGAGGCGAAAGCCCAGAGTCGAGGGTCGCCTCCGCGGGTCGCACGCAGCTGGGAGGACCTGCCCGACTCGGGGTACATCCCGCCCCCGTTCCCGCGCGCTTCTCGAGGCGAAACCGGGGACCGAGCGGCTGCGGCGCTGGGTGAGCGTGGGCAGACACCCCCCCCTGGTGCACGAGGCTGACGTCCAGAGTGCTCTCCTCGCCTGCCTGTCGTGACCCTTGCCGTCGCTCGGACGTCCGCTCCCAAGGCGATGTTCGGCTTCGTGCGTGCTTACCCGTTGCAGGACGATCCCAGGGCGTTCCTCGACGCTCCTCGCCGAGGAGAGACGCGCACACGTCCGAGCGATGCCGAGGACCTCGTCCCTGTGATCCCAGGGCGTTCCTCGACGCTCCTCGCCGAGAGAAGAGACGCGCACGCGCCCGAGCGATGCCGAGGACCTCCTCCCCGCGGCCTCGCCCCGCCCGGCGTGCGCCGCCCCGTGCGGCGCGGGCGGGCGGCGGGGCCCGCGTGCCGCCGTCGGCTTCCAGCAGCGGGAAGCCGTCCTCGCAGAGGATCGACTCCAGCTCCGGCCTGGAGATGGGGCCCATCTCCTGTCGGGGGGTGCTAAAGGTGCCCCTGACCCAAGGTGCCCCCCGCTTTTCGATCGATCTTAGAAACCCTGGGGCCCCATTTGTCTCGTGAGGGGTGCCCTTGATGCCTCTGGCGCCTCCTTGGGAATCGTGGGGGCACCTTGGGCCTTGGGCGGTGGCAGCTTTGAGGAAGCAAGCAGGCAAGCGCACGAGCAAGCAAGCGAGCAGGCAAAGAAAGCGATCCGACGGTCGGGATGGGGTTCGATTCGTACTCGGACTCGGTTCTGGGCCGCGCTCGGTTTCGCGTTCGAATTCGGGCTCGAAATCGAGCTTGGATCTAGATTCGGGTCCGACTTTGATTCGGATGCAGGTATGAGTTCAGGCTCGGATTCGGTACAATATCCATGCTAAACGCCATGCAACATCATTGGGCAAAACCACCAGGCGCAGCGATACAGAAACAGCTGTTGGGCAACCATCCCAGACCTATCATCCAAGAGTGGGTGAGATGCCCGTATGTATGTGCGCAAGCTTAAACCAATAATTCAGGCCCGATCATGCTGACGTGTATCACTGAAAACTGATTACGCATATGATGCGTTGCCACTTGAAACCGCGCGATTCGTCACGATGTCAGTATCCTGGCACCCTCTGCGCGATGAGTGATACATCGATATAAGGCAAATGTCGATCGGAAGTGGCACAGCTTTGCGCCTGACCTTCTAGAGCCATAGGATACACTGGCACTTTGCCATACGAAGCACACCCGTCCCAGGGGAAGGAAGTGAGTTACCGTGGTGGTGTGAGAGACACGACGACGACTGAAAACATGTTCGAGGCAAGACGCGACCAGCCGATGCCGAACCGATGAAGGGGGTGTCCCCTGCCTGCGAAAGACATAGGACAGCTGAACCGCGGTTCGATTCGATTCGATTCGCGCTCGCTCTCGGATCAGTTCCCGTGCCCATTAGGGCGCGAACGTTCAGGCCGTAGCCTCTCTGTGAAACGCCAATTGACTAGGATGGGGTCCGAGTGATAACATGGAAAAGGCGTGCATCGCTGGCGTCGTGGTGCATGCTGATGTCATGTCTTGCAGTCCTGGTTCTCTGAGCTGGTGCTCCGATGAATCCCTCCTCGAGCTGCAGCCATAGTGTGGTGTCAGCGACTATCGTCATCCATCTGATGTCGCTCGAGTCGTGGGGATATCGGAGGTTCTGCGGAGGACAATACTCAAACCCCCTTCCTCTGACGGGAACAGAGGACAAGGAGGAGGACGACGACGACGACGACAATCTCGGCGGCGACGACGACGCCGACGACGACGCCAACGCCGACGCCGAGACCGCCACCGACGACTACGACGATGCTGACGACGACGACGACGACAACGACGACGACGACGACAACGACGACGACGACGACGACGACGACGACGACGACGACGACGACGACGGCGCCGACGCCGACGCCGACGCCGACGCCGACGCCGACGCCGACGCCGACGCCGACGCCGACGCCGACGCCGACGACGACGACGACGACGACGACGACGCCGCGCGCGGCCGGCGGGGCCCCGCGGCCTTCTCCTCCCAGGTCCCAGCGGCGTTCCAGCTCGAGCCTACTGCCTTGTTCTGCTGGTGCTCCGCCTCGGGCGGCAGGAATGGGAGGGCACCAATTGTGCACCTACACCAATCTGTAGGAACAAAACACACTGTGGGAAAAAAAACACACAGAAAAACACACACTGTTTGTGTTTTTGTGTGCGGTTTTCCCACTGTGTTTTTCCCACTGTGTGTGTGTGTGTGTTTTCCCACGTGTGTGTCTGTTGTCCCACAATGTGTGTTTTTGTCCCACAGAATCCTGAGCCCAGGCTCGGTTTGGCCAGGATCTGGAGAAGGAGGGGAGAAGGGGGCAGGAGGAGGGAGGAGCAATGAGGAGGGAGGAGGAGGGGGGGGAGGAGGAGGAGGGGTAGGGGGAGTCTTTTGCTAAGCATATCCAAATTAGTGCAACATACAAGGCACTCTTTGTACACCCGCCACAGGCTCGCCTGGCAACGGCTGCGCCGCGCCAGGGCCGCCGAGAAGCAGTTGACTGCGCAACTTCCTTTGGTCTCCTTTCTGGTCTAGGACCGAGTATGCCCACTCTTTCGGGCACCCCTGGTCCAGTCCGTCTCCGCGTTTCGGCGTGTGGTTGGCTATCCTCTTCAGGACCTACCACAACCAACCACACGGGGCAGGCCGACGCTGTCACGAACGATACCTCTGTTTCCGACTCTGCGAAAACACCACGCGTACCTCTTGAATGCAAAGATACGTTGTGTCTGGTCGTATTCTGGAACTCCTTCGTACACACCAACATTGCCAGAAGATGTCAAGCTAGGCTCTGAGAACCTGCTGCTTTGGCCTTCGAAGAAGGGAGGAAACAACTGGGGGAGGAGGAGGAGGAGGAGGAGGAGGAGGAGGAGAAGGAGGAGGAGGAGGAGGAGGGAAAGGGGGGAGGGGGAGGGGGAGGGGAAGGAGGAGGCGGGGGGAGCGGGCGCAGGAGCAGGTCGTGAACAAATCACGACTGGGGTGATATATGGAGGGCGGGAGAAAATGGGAGTCCCCAAAAAGGCCCCCGAGATGCCCCCAAGAGGCCCCGAGAGGCCCTCAAGAGGCCCAAAAGATCCCCAAAAGAGGCCCCGAGATGCCCCAAAACGGCCCCCAAGAGGCCTCCCACGAGATCCCAACACTGCTCTGTTTGGTGGTTGGCGGATGGCGCTTGCCTCTTGAATCACGACAGGGGTGACTTCTGGAGAAAGGGAGAAGGTGGGAGCGGCTGGCGGCGCGCACAGGGAGGTAGGGGGAGGGGGGAAGGCTTCCTAGAAGATCTCAGAGGGCGCGGACCTGTCTACAGATGTGGGGCCGGCGCCTTTTCAGATGCAGGCCTCCTTCGAGAAGCCTCCCCCCCTCCCCCTACCCCACGGTGCGCGCCGCCAAGTGGGAGAAGATGGGAGTGGACAGCACGAATGACCGACACCTCAGCCCTGGGGGCAAGCATGCAGTGCACAAGCCCCCGTGCTGCACCGGTCGTGAGAAGAAGAGGGAGGAGAAGGAGAAGGAGGAGGAGGAGAAGAAGGAGGAGCAGAAGAAGAAGAAGGAGGAGCAGAAGAAGAAGGAGGAGCAGAAGAAGAAGAAGAAGGAGGAGCAGAAGAATAAGAATAATAAGAAGAAGAAGGAGGAGCAGAAGAAAAAGAATAAGGAGGAGCAGAAGAGGAAGAAGAAGGAGGAGGACGAGGAAGAGGAGAAGAAGAAGAAGAAAAAGAAGAAGAGGGGGCAGCGTGGTTGCCGAAAACGGCTGTCACGCAAATCACGACCGGGTGCTTTGCCGATTTAGGCCTCCAGGGCACCCAGACCCAGACCCCCTCGGGAAATGAACAAAAACTGCGACGGAGGTTTCTCGCTGGTTTCGGCCTCTGGGGGCATCATTGGGCCCCAGGACTGTCAATAAACGAATTAGAATGAGAAACCGTCACCATATAATATCCTGGGGGGAAGTGGGGAAGGGTAACAAATCTGCCAGGGTTGCCCTTTGCTTACGTACCAAAACCCACGGATAACATGGCTCAAGATTACGATACCAAAGACGCGATTGGACGGTGAGGGGGCATACGTACCAAACAAGGAACAACACCGATATCTGTCTGGCTTCGGTATACATCTGAAGTGGCGGTTGTTACAGCAATGACGAGAGCTTGGGGCTGCCATTGCTTCGCTTCCAGCGCGCACGACTATTATCGATGGTGGAGATTTTAACGCATGGACTGGGGGAGCCCTACCGCACTTTGGTCTACTACATGCAGAAGCCTTCAATTCGAATGGACGTGATATGCTTGATCTTTGCCGAACTCATCACCTTGCTGCGCCCAGTACCTTTGCAGCGCACTCGCAACATATCGACTGGGACGGATCCACGCATGTCATCGCCTCTATTATGTCTTGGTGCAATAGGACGCTCTGGAGCAGTGTGGAACCGTCTGGACCCACCACAAACGTGGCTTGGAACTGCAACCCGGAGTCCACGAGGATAATTTCGATCGTATTCCCATCAGCTTCGTCATCCAATATCGGCTAAGGGTTATTCGTAAAGTGAACAACCGAGATGCTTGGAATTATTCGGGACTGCGCCATGCTGCTGATGAGCGCCTTTCCTTAACGGCCTCTTGGAGTTTGAGAGCATGAATGGGGGAGCTCTCAGATACCGTGCGCACTGGGACTTGAGCGTGGAGACGCCCTGGCAGCCACTCCGTCAAGGTATCTGTGACTTGGCGCATGCTCATTTCGCAATGCAGCACGTCCCAGAAATTATTGGAGCGGTCCCAAAACATAGGAACTGGTTCAAAAACACACCACTCTTCTTCATCAGCGCCGTCGACGCGAAAATCGGGCAGAACATTCGCCAGACACCTTCGACGAGGACGGTGAGCAAGGAGGTGGACTGGTTTTGGCGTTGCCGCTGCCCTCTCTCGACGCGCACGCCGAGAGTGACCCACGGGCGAGGCCGATCGCGCGTGGCACCGGGAAAGGCTACAAGGCGAACATCATGGAGAAACCCGCAGATGAAGACTGGACGAGGAGCTACAGGGCAGTTTTTAACACATGGGATTTTAAAAATATAGGATTTTTGATACATGATCAATGTATGACTAAATTTATGCATGAACTCATTTTTGTCTTTAAGATTGAATCCCTGCTTATACATGATCCGCACGCGGAGCATGTATTAAAAACGGAACTGTAGGCAGGACGATTCCACTGGATTTGATTGCTTCTGCGAGACGTACAATAGCGCTGTCCAGAAAGGGATCGACGCACGACCTTCCCGACCACATGCCAACCTTCGCTACAGAAGACAGATCTTCGACCCAGGAGCGCTCACCTGCGTTGACGATGTGGCGGATTTCATCGCTATTGATGATGGTAAAACCGCCGTACGAAAGCATCCAGACTGCCATCATTGAAGGGGCCCTGGGACACACAAATAAATAGACACTAATAAAAATACTCCCCATATTTTCCTATATTTTCTGGGTTTTTGTCTTCCCCCCACTTCCCATATCTTCCCATATTTTCCGGGGGGTAGACGAGTAATTGATTGTGTCTGTGTGTTTTTTCCCCTCCTGAATCAGTGAGAAACAAACAAGTTGGTACCTGCGCTTGCGGAGATCCGCTGCAGGCTCGAGCTGTCCAATGAAAAAGGGGCGTGCCGGCGTGGCATGGGACGGGGCGGGCGAGCTGCCGGAAACGAGCATGCGCAGGGGAAGCCTTGACGAGGGGAACTGTGAAAGCTACGGCTCGATATCTTGGCGACTGCATCCACAGGCAAGGCTCAAACGAAACTGCAGTCAGACACAGATGTGCAGCAATGCAGACGGGATTCTGGGAATATCATGGACTATAGTCCTGCAAACACGTAACTTTACGTCACAAGGTTAACGTGTTCAAGGCTATGGTGTTCAATTCAGGTTTATCTGGTTTGGAAGCGTGGGTATGGAATACGCAGGACATGGCGGAACTCGAAACGCAATACATCGTCCTGGCCCGAGAAGCACTCGGGTGGGAGAGCTGGCAAAACGAGACCCGTGGGCACAACAACGCAAGGGTCTTGACCAAGATGCACCTGTGGACCTTCTCAAGCTACCTGCGACGTCAAAGGCTTCGATGGCGGCACTCTATGGCGAAGCCTCCCTCTCAACATCGTCTTGTCTTCGCTTCAGTCTTCGGGCGGTTTGATTGGGAAACTGCTTGCGATCTCGGTGAAGATTTTTACCCGACGGATGTTGCTCATCCATACCTCAGACATCTTGCGGACGATCTGGAACAAGGATGGCAGTAGTTTTCAGGATTCCATGCCTCTACGGTTTACGATTTTTCTTGCACTGATGCGGACGATCTGGATCGAGTCCTGGCCCAGAACATCCAGCAATCTAACGCCACCATCCCCATCACCGCACTCCCTAGATTCGATACTGGTGACCCGGATGAGCCTTTCAGAAAGGATGTAGTTAGGTTGCAGTTCCGATGCGATGTATGCGAGAAGGTATTCCCTAATAAACAGAAGCTGGGCACGCACAAACGACGGAGTCACCATATCTTGTCACCCTCAGCTTTCAGTGTTTCCAAATGGCGCCCAAGATGTACTATGCCGTTCGCCTCAGCATACGCTGCTGGGAAGCATTTGGAAAGGGACCAGTGTCATACAGCAAACGCCCGATATCACTATTTTAGGTTAGCAGACGGTAGCGTGAGCCACAGGCCATCGTTTAGGCTGAAACTGATCTCGAACTGATAAATGACAAATGGGTCTAACTGCATGCATGCATCGGAATTATACTTGAGTCCAATTGCATGCATAGGGAGCCGAAATCAGTTTAGAACTCGTGCCCGTCGTTTTGGAGCCAGCTCGGCTCAAGACAGCGGTTGCGCACGGCCTGACGGCCTGACACCAGCAGAGATCGTACCTGTCGATTTCGATGTGCCTCTCGCACTCGCTCGCAGGCGCGCCGCAGCAGCAGCAGCAGCAGCCGCTGAGCAAGAAGCCCCGCAGTAAAGTACGGATCGTCAGCTTGACAATTTGGACTTTCGCGTGAGGCAGCTGGAAGGGGTGA